ACACACACACACACACACACACACACACACACACACACACACACACACACTGTTTCCAGTGTTCTGCCTTCAATTCCTGGTATTTTGGTGCCTCACACAGGATTTCTCCTCCCTCCAGAATATCCAAAATCATCTTTACCTGCAAATTACCCCTCCCCCGCAATGAAAATCCCCATTTCTAGTTTGGAAACAGGGAAAGATCTGAGCACATAATTGATGCCCAAAACTTTATATGCGTCATATTTACCTTTCATAACAAACTTGAATGGACAATATTATAGCTCTCCTTTTATAGCCAGGGAAATAAGTGCTTAAAGAAGTTAAACAAAATGGACTCCAAGCCACATAGCTGAACTCGAACCAGGAAATTCCAGAGCAATTTCCTTCCCTATAAACTAGTGGTTCTCAAACTTAGCTATATGTTAGAATCACCTGACAATTTTTAAAACTCCTGATGCCCAGGGTGCTCCCCATATCAAATCAGAATTCCTAAGGGTGGGACCCAGATGCCACCATTTTTAAATAATCTTCCTAGATGATTCTAGTGGACAGCCAAGTCTGAGGGGACCAGTACTGCAAACCAAGTTGCCTGAATGAGGCTGTTTGAGAGAAACTCTCAGGTTTATTTACACTGGGTGGGACTGATGAAGAACTCTTTAACCTTTTCAGAGGAATTGCTATTTTTTTAATAATAATAAATCTAACTAATCTCCCAGGTATAGAATTTAAGACTATATGAAGGAAATAGTTTGGGACAAGGAATCCTTCCTAATTCCCCTGCAGTCACATTATAGGCATGACCATCTCATCTCTCTATGGCTGAGGCTTAGCATGACCACTGGACCTAGACTGCTGCCCAGTGGCCTCTGGGGTAGGTTCCTATCCTTTTTGCCCTGCCAGTGCTGTTAGAAATTTGACTTCATTGCTGCATCTGGTGACTTAAGAATTTTTCCCAAATGCTTTGTGGAAACAGCCTGAACCTGTCAACCTCACTCTAGATAAATCTATTTGAACCAATTTTTCTGGTGTTTCCTGAAAAGACAGGCTGATTTATTTATGCCTCTTTCCTTCACAGATTCAGGAGTGAAGTGTTATGATTATCAGTGTTCTTAGGAATTTGTGAATATTTTCTTCCAAAAAAACAAAACAAAACAAAACTTTTACCACAGCCTTTTCTGCTTAGATAAAGACTGGACAGCAGCACCAAATTTGGCCAAGGTAGACCAAGGTAGCTGTTTAACCCTTAATCCTGAAAGATAGTAATTAAATTAAATAGCAAAGAGAATATAGGTATTACTAGAAGAGGAAGAGGAAAACAGAGAGAATGAGGCAGCGAGGGAGAGAAAGAGAGAAGCAAGTAAGACCACCTGTGGCTGTCTACTCACTAAGACGGAAGCATTTCCTCTAACCTCAAATAGGACATCTAACAAAATCAATCAACACAAAGTTATCCCCAGAGCTGTGCTAAGTAAGTGCTGTAGAGAAATGTGAGTTCAGCTTTCTTTGTTAATTTATAATCCACTTGATGAAAACAATGCGCATGTGTGAAATGTATAGTACACAATACAAGATGGTGAACAATGATTCCAAGTACGAACTGTTAGTGCTGAAGGAATTCAGAGAATGAGACATACATGGAGCTACCAAAGGGCAGTCATTCAAGTCTTCGTGGAGAGTGTAAAAACTTGAACCAGACCTTGGAGGAGGGGTAGGAAAAGAGAGAAAGGCAGCCTGAAAGCATGGCAGTGAGTGAATATACAGAGTGCTTGCCCTTCTGTGTCCAGGGTTCATATTTAGAAAGAATGAAAATGAGACTGAATAACTATGTTGGGCACAGATTAGAGAATCCAAATTTAATAGCCAGAAGGAATCTTGAGGCTGAAAGGGAAAATCTAGGTCTGAGAGCCAATGACCACTTCAGATACTTGACCTTGAGTAACCCCCCTGCAACTCAGTTTTCTTTTCTGTAAAATGGGAACAACAGTACCCACTTAACTTCTTCATAAGGATTTGAGAAAACCAAGTTAGTTAAGAAATGGAAAAGACTTCATAAACTGCAAAATGCTGGGCAGTTGTTTAGGTATTATTCTATTTTCAGCCTGACTCTTTCAATATGTGGTATGAGAAAAGTAAAGTCTAGAAAGGACAAATAATTCATTCAAACCTATACCTTTAAATGAATAGTTCTGTGTTTCTTCACTCACCAATGTTATTTCTAACTATGGAAAAATTTGAAAGCCATGCAGGGAAATATGTATATGTAAAGCAGTGGATATAAAAGTATTCCTTCTTCGGTATATATACACACACCAGAAGTGGTGTTTAAGGCAGTTGTCTGACAGTGGCTTGGAAGGAAAAGCTACTCAAGCCTCTGAGAATAACTGCTGAAGCAATTCAGGAATAAGGAAATGAAGGCCTGAAATTAGATGGTAAAATGTTAGGGGAAGGGAAGAAAGTTAAGACAAGTGACCCAGAGAATCAGAAGTGAGAAACAGGAAGCAACTTATTAAAAAAAAATTTTTTTCTCAGTAACTATTAATATGGCAGGCCCTGTTCCATGTACTGACAACACAGCAGCGAACAAGGTAGACAAGATCCTGGCTCTTTATATTTTGGTTTATAGTTTATAGGAAATAGATTATAAGAAGTAAATGAATAAAGTGATTTCAGATGGCAATGAACTCCTTGAAGGAAATTAAAACAGCAATGTGTTGGTGGCTGGGGCAAGATGGCTAGAAATCAGGGTGGCAGTTAGTGGGAGGGCTGTCTCAGGCAGGGAGCAGGCTGCAGAGACCTAATGGCCGTGCATTCAGGGGACAGTGAGAAGGCCCAGGTGTTGCTGGAGAGCATTGAGTAAGAAGGATGTTGGTAGGAAAGCAGGGCCGAGCAGTCACTAGGGGCTAACTATGAGTTTGGGTTCTATTCCCAGTAAGATGGAAAGCCAATGAAGGTTAGAAACCAGAGAATGGCATGATCTGACTGATGCTTTAAAAAGAGTAGCATTTACAAACATAAAATAAAAAGAATTAGTGTAGCTGCTGGTGGAGAATGAATTGTGAGGGTAGAAAGTGTGGATGCCGACTGACAATGCAGGAAGCTCTTATAGTAGTTGAAACCCAGATTACAGTGGTGAGGACCAGCAAGGGACAATGAAAATCAAGAAACGACATCTGTTCTGGAAATGTTTTGAAACTAGACAAGCAAAAGTGATTAGTTTATGAAGCAGGAAGATAAATTTCGCTATTGGCAAAAGCAGAGAGATTGCAAAGAGGAAACAGTTAAAAATGAGGATGTCGAGTTCCGTTTTATACATGTTAAATTTGAGGAAAAAGAGAAACATCCAAGTCGTGACATCCACCAAGGGCTGGAAATACAGGACTAGCCACACAGGGAAAGTAAAAGCAACAAAGTGAGCTTGGGAGACACCAACCTGGAGATTAAAACTATGAAAGACTGTTGAATTAAAACTCTTTTTAGCATGATCACATTGTCCTCATAATGGGTTTCTTAAGATGTTTTTCTATAGATTTAATATGTGCCCTTATTTTAATGGTCTGTGAATTTGCAAGAATTAAGTCAACAAAGGGTTAATTGATCTCTTAAGATTCTTTCCAGAACCTCTAATTCATCTCTCTGTACTCCTCACCTAGTGCTAGAAAGGGGTGGGGAAAGAAGTGAGATAATGGTTATCATTTCACATGGAAAACCAGGAAGTGCGACTATTTACCAACAGCACAATCCAATTTAGGCAAGTTCACAAAACTAAAAAATAAAGGTTTTCAGTTCTGAGTACATGTCCTACTATTTCATACCTACAAATCGCTTATCTCTTTTCCTTCAATTTTAGAATTTCCATTCAGTTTAAAACATGTTTGAATCTTTTATTAAGGTCTTTCTTCACCTAAGGAGGCTTAAAATATGGCTGCTGCTTCTTTAGCAAAGTTATTGTGACTAATAAAGTTTTTATGATTTTTCTGTTGTTCTCAGTTGCTATACCTGCCTTTCAAGAATTGCTCCCGTTTTGAAGAACTTCTGAGTGAGACTTTGAAATCAGAGGAATTCCAGAAGAGGCTGGAACCTTATAAGGTTAAAAAAGAGTGTCATTTAGTGGTGTACAAGAATAAGGGCCAAGACAGAGGATGAAGCTGCAGTTTCTTGAAAGTGTGGGAGGAATGTGCCTGCTCATGGCTGGTAATAGCAATGGGTTATAACGTTTAATGAGGGTCAGTCATCACTACCTGGTCCCCATTGCTGTGCTGAGGCCACAAGCTAGTAAAGAAGCCCGTCCCTTACAAGTCCTATACTCATGTCCCTGAGAGGGACCAGGTGGAAATGCATGGCTGGATCAGAATAAATGCAAGTCTAAAATGATCTGCCTTATTGAGGCTGAGGGGCTGGGACTATTGCCTTCATATACAAGGATAGACTTTATTTTGTATTTTGTGTTTCCACAATGTGAAATACCTTTNCCACATATCAGTGAAATCATATGGTTCTTGACTTTTTCTGTCTGACTTATTTCACTTAGCATAATAAGGAGATGTTTTAAATCATATACTCCAGGCAGTTTGAGGAAAACAGTTCAGTCACATCAAGACTCCAACCGTGGCCAGACCCTATTCACCATGGGGTAAGGACAAGTTCTGTAGAACCTCAGGGGAATACATAGAGGCAAAGCATCCTGGTGGTTGGACCATAGTGGGAGGAAGTTTTCTCGGGTCCTCATAGCTAGAGAAAGAATTCAAGTCACCAGCCAGGAGAGGAGTCAATTACAGCTACAAAAAAGAGTGAGGGATCCTGGAACTAGAAGAACAGCTAAGGAGGTATGAAGTCAAGATGGTCAAGAGCAACTTCACAGAAGGTGTGCAAAGTAGCTTGTGGCAATTACTTTAGGAAATGGTCATTCATGATGTGATGAAGTTGCAGACCTGCTCTTACAGAAGTCTTGATTGCATGGCACAGAGGCAGACCTGATAGAAATGTGCAAGTCCTTGAAGGGAGAGCATCCAGAGAGCATGTTAGGTGGAACCTCGTATGCCAGGGGAAATTACCAGGCAGGGTGTAATTACCAGACTGTGTGTAAGGACAGAGCCCAGGAAGCAGCTCAATCTTATGTACTAAATAGCAAAATAATGCAGAGGTTTATATATGCTGGACCTCCTTGGCTCCACAAACCCCAGACCTCATTCTTGGACAACCAGGTACCAGCAATATGATTCAATCTCAAACCCCATTAGATAGTGGAGACAGGACTCTTGATTTATCTCCCCCAACCTAGTCATAATGGGCTGAGGAATTCAGCCCCTCACTACTCAAAATGCAGTCCAAGGACCAGCAACAACACTGAACATCTGGCTAGAAATGCAGANTCTAGTAGTTTCCCCTTCATTACACAAAAATGCCATAGTGTTACCTACAGTATTCAATACAGTAATATTTTGTATAGGTTTGTAGCCTAGGAGCTATAAGGGACCAGAATTTGTCATCCCAAAATATGTCTATTTGGCATAAATATTATTTTAGGCTGGTTGATTTTAAGAAACAACAGACCTAGGAAAAGCTCTGAAAACCGAGCAGTAATTACCTTTTACAAAATACATTTCATTTGTAAGGGAAATCTTCGTTTGTAAGGGTGTCTCCATGCTGTACCAGGAAAAGGGGATCACCTTATCTCTAGAAACTTACCAATGCAGAAGGCAACAACTTAAATCTGCATAACCATCTCACCATTGCTTACTGTGCTTTTTCTGATCACCCCCCATAACTGACACCTCCAACCCCCAACATTTTTTTTTCTTTAACTGAAGAAGATGTTTAAGGGGGTGGCTTCAGCCATTTGGGCAAGTTCCTCAGTTTTCCTGTGTCTCTCATGTATACAGGAGGCATACATGTTATTAAATTTTTGTTTTTCTCCTGTTAATCTGTCTTTTATTACAGGGATGTCTTGGTCAAGAACCCAGAAGGGGAGAGGGAAAATTATTTTTCCACCCCTACAGAGCAATAGGTTATACCATACAGCCTAGGTGTGCAGTAGGTTAAACTATCTAGGTTTGTGTAAGTACATTCTATGATGTTTGCACAATGACAGAATCACCGAAAGACTCATTTCTCAGAACATATCCCCATTGTTAAGAGGCCCATGACTATTATATGATATTATTGGTAGTGGGCATCCCTGTCTCAGTCCTCATTTTAGTCTCTTTTACGCATGCTAGCTTTCAGGTCAAATAGGTATGTATTTATCAAGTACAGGAATTAGCGGCCTTTCTATTTTCTTGAGTGTTTTTTTTATCAGTTCCGGTGTTTAATTTTTTGAAAGGTCTTTTCAACATTTTTAATATAATCAATTTATTTTTCTCCTTGGATCAATTACTAAGATTAGTTATATTAATAGATTTACTAATGTTGAACCATATTTACATTTCTAGAATCAAGCCCCTTTCTTTTAATGTGATATTGAATTATTTGCTAATATTTTACTTAGATATTTTGCATTGATAGTCAAAGCGACATTGGACTGTAGTTTTGTTTTCTAGGCAGTCTTTGTCAGGGTCAGTGTTGTACTTAATTCATAAAATTTGTTTGGAAGTTTTCTTTCTTTTTCTATGCTCTGGAACAGTTAAAATAGTATTAAAATAGTTTACTCTTGGAAAGCTTAATAGAATTATTCCATTAAATCATCTGGTCCTAGAGCTTTTGTTTTTTATGTTGTTTTATTTTTTGGGGGGGTGAGGTAATAGCAAGATCTTTAATAATTATTTCTATTTACTTTATGGAAATCTGTTTGGGTTAATATTGGGAAATTATATCCTCCTAGAAAATGTATCCAACTGACAAACAATATCTTTCAAAAGGCTTCCCCGAAATTGCTGTCAATTTCATCAGGCAGATAGCTGAACAGGGGGTCTCCTTATTGTGACAACCCAAGAATAATACAGAACCTAGAGAAATGTTTGCCTCCCATTCAAATGTCACACTTATAGCCAGATACGCGGTCCTGTTTCTGTTGTGTTTTCCTGGGGTGCTTTGGCCTGAGATATGTTTTCCCCTCTCACATTGGCCATTCATTTATATGTGAATTATTCTCAGCTCACTTCCAAAAAAATTTTGAGGCAGCGCCCTTCAGTTCGATTCCAGGACAAAGCAGGAGCATGTGGCAGTAAGCCAGCATTTGCTCACATTTTTAATGTAATAATGAGAAATGGCTAATTAGTATTTGTAAAATTTTTTGGGTTGGCATCATCATAACCAATGCTATTGGCACATTTTCCTGTAAAGAATAGCAGCTCTCAACGGGGTCAAATCTGCCCCACAGGGAACATTTGGCAATGTCTGGGGACATTTTGCGTTGTCACAACTGAGAGATTAGGGATGATGCTGGCATCCAGTGGGTAGAGGCCAGGGATACTGCTAAACATCCTATAATATACAGGGCACCCCCAAAAAAACAAAGAATTATCCAGTCCAAAATATCAATAATGCTGAAGCTAAGAAACCCTGATTTAAAAAAATGTTTTTCCTCCCTGTGTGTTTCAGGATTTTATAGAAACATTACCAAAACTTTCTGGATTCCATGGCAAGAAACTTTTCGAAATTTGGAGTAACATCTACGACCCTTTATTTTGTGAGGTAAAAGAAAAAGTATTTGAAATTAACTTGCAGACTGATTTTATGACATGTCTATTTTGAAATAGATGAATACATTTTCTTTTGCTTTTTCACAGATGTATTACTTATACTTCCTTTGACATTGACACATAATTCAAGACTTCTTTATGATTAACTTGAACATTCTGACTTCTCTCCATTATTTATGCTTTCACCCTTTAGAAAATTGCAAGCAAAATTGCTTTTCTTCTATGCCTTGCCACTTACTTATTTTTCAGTCACTCAGGAATGCTGAGTTCCTGTCAGGGTTTTGATGAAAAACACAATGTTGGATATAGTAAGAGAAAAAAAAATTACCTGATTTCTAGATACAAAAACAAGCAAGCCAACTTTAAGCAAGGCTATTGAAAATGGTTTATCTGGAAAGGATCTCTTCCTTGCTGTACAATGCATACAAAACAACTTTGTAGCTAGGTAAATGACGACTGAGTTTTTCAAGGCTATGTGGTGTTTTTCACTCACCATGCTCCACCTGCTGTCCAAAAGGAGTACTCTGTAATCCTGGTTTCCCAATCAGCTCACTGAGTCCTGGGCAAAATTCGGACCACCCACATGACTTATATCCGCTTCTGATTTTGAGGTCATCGTGTCTTGGGGGAGGCAGCAATTACTTTCATAGCTCCATCTCAGTGACAGATGACACAGTTTCCCCCCTGCCACATCAGAGTCCATTGACCCAAGTACACACTACTTTCCCAATACAGTAAGTCCCTGACTTAGGAACATTCGAGTTGCGAACTTTCACAGATACGAAGGGACCTCGCATTACAAACGTTTGTAGATGTGAACAAATCGCGGAAGTAGCTCACGTGTCTGCCGGACATTGTCACAGCTGTGCTGCTGTGTGCTTACTGTACAGTGCGATAGTGTATAGTAGTACAGTGCTCAATCAGAGCCCGGGATATCTGGAATCAAGAGGAAAAGCAGTGGTGATGTGGAGGGGACTGCTAGGAAGCGCAAAGCAATAACCATGGAAACAAAAGTGAAAATCATTGAGAGATTGGACCGAGGCAAAAAGATGGTAGATGTCGCTCGTTCTTATAACATGAATCGTTCAACCATTGGCTTTAGATTGTATATTTGTGTCAAAGGGGTATAAGACTCACTTTGTTGGTACTTATGAACGAATCCGACTTACGAACGTTCTGCTGGAATGGAACTTGTTCGTAAGTCGCCGACTTAACTGTATTTTCACTTTATCATCAGCATCTATTTCAAGGAAGATGTGTTAGCCTATTTATAAAAGACTCTTCAATGGAGACAGAAGCCCACATTTTGATTCCAGCCTTAATTTTTCTCTTTCTTCCGTATTGCAGTTTGATCTGAACTATTCCATAATGTGGTCATGGTGTCTGGGTCTTTTTTCACCTCTCTCTCTCTCTCTCAATCCTACCTTTGAAACTGAGGGAATCTTAATTAACTCTTCATAGCAGGTAATAAATATTAGCACGAAGTCTCTACCTGCCCAGCTTAGTCATCAATTTAATGAATATTTAGCAAGTGCCTACCGTGTAAAAGGTGCACTCTTTCCCTAAGAGTCAGTGAAACAGAAGCTCATAGGAGTGGGGCTATATTATTGAAGGCTCTGGAAATACATTACCTTTCCCAGGTGTCCTCTTAGGCTGCTCATTCAGCTTTTAAGGAAACATCATCCAACCCTGTCAGCTTTACCTTTCCCCCCAAGTTGACAAAAAGATTTCTAAACCTTTCATAAAAGAATAAGGTATATTCCTGCCCTACTGCAACTTTACTGTACAAAATACGAATTGCCCCTTGACTCAGAGTTAAGCCAAAAGCTATGGACTTGGTAAGAAGGGGCAAATGAGCTTCTGTGAATTTTTCTTCTGAAAAACCAATACCACTATTTATTACAAAGTGAAGTCTTCCTAGAAAGAAATGGCAGGACAAGAAAGGCCGGACCCAGGGGTTCTTGTGCAGTGAAAGAGGATAAAAGGTCCACAAAGCGGGCAGTCAGAAATGAAAATGCACATTTTCTTTTTTTTTTTTTTTTCTTTGCTACAGAGTGTTCACAATTTCACTTTACCCTCCTGGGCCACTGAGGACACCATGACTAAGTTGAAAGAATTGTCAGAATTGTCCGTCTTGTCCCTCTATGGAATGCACAAGCAGAAAGAGAAAGCTAGACTACAGGGGGGTAAGTACATTTGAAAAATGCGAGGAGCATGTTGGATTTGTGGTTGAGTAACATAGGTCTAAGAGCTGGTCCCACCGCTCATGAGCTATGTGACCTTGGACAGGTCACAGAATCACTCCTGCACCAATTTCCAGCCTGCAAAATGGGGATAATAATGTTATTCATTTCATAGGTAATGAGGATTAAAATAAATGTATGTTAAAAGGCTTAGGACAAATACTACATAATACACTGATGATAAACATTATGTGTTATTATAATCATCATCATTACCTACTCTGGGCCTTAGTTTTCCCATCTGGAAAATGAAAGCTTTGGGCTAAAGCGAAATCATACTTTTCATCCTTTCCAGATCAAAGAATGAAGGATTTTTGTATCTGAGCCCCATGAAAATCAAAGTCTTGTGGACTATAAGATGAATTTTTCAAGTGGGTGGTATGACAAGAGGCCTGTTTTCCTGAAACCCGTGGTGGTAGCTATTGCAAAAGTTAATAAAACATATTCTGCAGGCTAATTATGCCCTGTAGGTTAGTATCTATTGCAACTGAGAAGCTTATGATAGCTTAAATATTTCCATTGGTGTTGAATGGTATTTATTTCTCAGCTGGATACGCATAAGATATGCTATTATAATGAAGGTAGAATTAAGCAAGGGGATGCCCTGCCCTTATAATCAGGACAGGTGGGTGGAAGAAAGAAGCCAGGACCAGGCAGGAAGGGGATAGACACTGAGGCCTCTGAGAACAGCTGGGTGGGCAAACCAAGACCCTGAAGGGTGTGTCAGGTGCCAGTGTTGTTAATGTCGGCATTAAAACTAAGGATGGAGAGCAAGAGAAGTTCATTATGTCAGGTTGACATAACAATGAAGCAATTCTAAGCCACAGGAGATTTATTATTATTATTATTA